CCACAACACAGAGTCCACCACAGAGTCCACAACACAGAGTCCAACACAGAGTCCAACACAGAGTCCACAACACAGAGTCCACAACACAGAGTCCACAACACAGAGTCCACAACACAGAGTCCAACAGAGTCCACAACACAGAGTCCACAACACAGAGTCCAACACAGAGTCCACAACACAGAGTCCACAACACAGAGTCCAACACAGAGTCCACAACACAGAGTCCACAACACAGAGTCCAACAGAGTCCACAACACAGAGTCCACAACACAGAGTCCAACACAGAGTCCACAACACAGAGTCCACAACACAGAGTCCAACAGAGTCCACAACACAGAGTCCAACACAGAGTCCAACACAGAGTCCAACACAGAGTCCAACACAGAGTCCACAACACAGAGTCCAACACAAAGCTAACATTAATGCTAAGCTAGTGGTACATATTGTCTGATTGTGCTGTTAGCTGGATAACGTTAGACAAAAATACTGTCAGTTAGCTTCATCCAGACTCCTGGGGTTGTCCTTCTGGCTGTTGGTGTTGCATTGTGGGTCTGGTGTCGGTTGCTTCGTGGTGTTGGCTGATGGCTGATGTGTAAACAGCGAGCTAGTTATTAGCATGGAGCTAACGGTCCAAATAAAATATAGGATCATTGCAGATAGAAACGTTATTCTAAATATGATCGTCAGTTATTTTACAGCGTTCAGTGTTTGTTGGTCGACTCCCAGGATGCAGTTCACTGAGCGACCACTGGAGGCGCTGTTAGCTTCAGTCTAATGAACGTTATATAGAGAAGCTTTAAAGTGTCAGATTTAGCTGAAGTTAAGTCTCTGTAGGGGGGGGGAGGTAGATGAGCAGTGACTCCTCCACTTGCACCTTGATGGGTCTCCACTCTCTACCCAGCATGTCTTGCTTCATCTTCAATATCATTTATGTGGATCAGTGGGAGCATCGATTGTCTGATTTCATCATCGTGTCTCCTGTTGAAGAACCAATCAGACGCTCCCACAGATCAATAACACCGTCAGAGAGAGTTCAGGGTCTGATAGAGCCGCTCACATCCAATACCACCACGATTCCATCTGTCAGTGCAACACACACACTAATGAAACCCTAATGAGGAGTGTGTGTGTGTGTGTGTGTGTGTGTGATTGATTGATTGATTGAACGATATCAGAAGAACCACGTACACTCGCTGTGTGTCACACCTGAACCATCAGTATTAGTATTAACCTTAATGAGTGGAGGCTCACAGCGCCACCCGGAGGTTAACACTCACTCATCCTTCGTCATCCTAGACAACAATTCAGCTCGCCACTCAGAACCGCTGAAGATTTCATTCTCACTGGAACAAATCCTCTTTTTTATGAGTTATAAATAATCAATAAAGATTATTTCTCTCATTATTTCACTGTACAAAATAAAAGCCTAAGAACATCCCAACATGCATCACAATATCTCTTCATCCTCCTCCTCCTCCTCCTCCTCCAGAATGATGAAGGATAGTCTGAAGGAGCTGCTGACACACCGACTCCATCAGACTGAAACTGAGCAGATATAGAATCTATTAATCAATCAATCCACAGATAATTCTGATCAATCGTTAATTGTTTCTATTAGTTAATCACTGAATCTGTTTGAAGATATTTTAAATTAATGAATCAAACAGAAGTAATCAGATAATTAATCACCAATAAAGGTTATTGATCCTTGGTGGTTTCTCAGTATTAATGGATTGTTTGATCTGATTTTAGCATCAATGAGATGAAGAATTTTCATTTCTCAGATATTTTATATTAACGAGCTTCGTAAAATATCATATTGTCATATTCATTTATTTTATTATTTATTTAGTGATATTGTATCAATGGTAAAAACCACTGTTAGACTATTTCTGTTAGACGTTACTGAGATTGATAATACTAATACAGAGCCCAGGGTGGCATAATAGAAATAATAATAATAATAATAATAATAATAATAATAATAATAATAATAATAATAACAGTAACAATAAAAATAACAATAATAATAATAATAATAATAATAATAATAATAATGTGGGTTAATCGTCGTTTGTTCTTTACACAAATTCCATCTGAAATCATCACAATCAAAAATGTTTATTGCCAACTAGGTTTTTACACCTACGAGGAATGTGACTGCGTTGGTGCATAAATATACAAATCACACAAAAATCAACAAAAAGTACTTTTAAAATATAGAGATAAGATCATAATGTTCTTTCTGACTGTATCAATATATTGATCAGAACCACTGTAAGAGAATAAATATTAAACTTTAATATTAGTCAGAAACAGTCTGATAGAACAGAAGGTTTTATATGAATTATAGAATATAGAATATAGAAAATGATCCTGTTCAGAGACACATCTATAATCAGTAAACTGAGGAACTTTAAAACATTCACAGATAAATTCATTCATTAATGTTAAATTAATATCCTTTATTTGTTTATCTGAATCAAAACTGAATTAACATTTATAGATTAATATTTAATAATAGTTAAATAACGAGCAGCTGCAGAAACATGACGACAAATAATAAATCCAACTGATTCTTCTTCTTTCTTTTATTATTATTGTTATTGTTGTTATTCTTATTGATATTATTATTATTATTATTATTAATATTATTATATGTTTCTAATAGTTTTATGAGATCTGTTTGTTATATAAATATATAACATTTAGGTTCAGTAAATAATAAATTGAGGATAAATTCAATCTGAAATGTTGACGGTGACATTTTAATAAACAATATTTGGTTGAACATGAATTTAAAAAGTCAGATTTAACCTCTCGTCTCCACACGGAGAATAAAATAATCTTCATAATGAAAAACCTAAAATGAAAACAGTTAAAGAGGAATGTCTGTTTCTCATTAATTAATATTTCATATTTTACATAATTCCTCCGAGCAGGACTCGATGTTTCTGTCTCAGTTTATATTTTAATGGAAGATTTTATTTTGAAACAGAAACAACAGGAGCTCCATCTAGTGGCCGACCGGCAGCTGCATCCATCTTCTTATTGTTCTCACTGCTTTATTATTGTTATTATTATTATTATTATTATTGATCTTATTACAGTGACAATCAGCTGAATCTCTGCGTCATACGATCCAACTGAACTACCAACTGGAAGTAATGAAGTCCCTCATTTCCCAGACAGAACACAGAACCTTGAACACGTTTTAAATCATTAATGAGACAATAAAAGCACAGAGGTCTCATTTGGAGAAACACTTTAAAGAGAGCTGCTGCCTCTAACCTCATAATACAGGACTAACAGCAGGAGGAAGAGGAGGAGGACGAGGAGGATGAGGAGGAGGAGGAGGAGGAGGACGAGGAGGACGAGGAGGAGGAGGAGGACGAGGAGGATGAGGAGGAGGAGGAAGAGGAGGAGGAGAGGTCACACAGCAGCAAGACCTTCACAAACCAACACACACACACTTGAACACACTCTCACAGTGACCGCTGTGTTTTGTCCGGGTCCTCTAATAACCTGCAGCCAAGGGCAGCACCTGAACACCACACACACACACACACACACACACTATAAAAACATACACATTCCAATTATGAGTTATTGATTTCTCCAAAAAGCAGCAGCTGTAACTGTCAGACTGTGTGTGTGTGTGTGTGTGTCTGAGGGCCGAGGCTAACGCTAACAGAAGCTACGTGCTTTCTCTCCTCAGTCTTCAGGGATGTTCGGGTTTGGATTGTTTGGGTGGTGGTCGCTCTGAGCAGGAAGTGAACGGGAAGAAAACTGCTGCTTGTTTCCATTCTGATCTGTCTTTAAATAATTCTACTGGGACCAAAATAACATTAAAGCTCCACTGAGACACATTAATATAATAATAATAATAATATATCTATAGGTTTGTGTTCATTAGTGTTTAATCAGCTGATAATAAGAATCACTGTGTTTGTTACAATGAGACGTTTTTATCTACAGAGGGAGAGGGTCCTCTTCTGGTGGAGTCCGCCATGTTGGACCGCCATGTTTCTACAGGAGCCCAGAACAGACAAACCAAACTCTGACTGCAGGGAGAGAATATAATATGCAGATATGTTCACATTTCCCAACCGCCCACCACCAGGTCAACCAGTGAGACAACAAAAGGACAAAAACTGGAGCGGAGATATTCAACCTCGTGTGAATGGACAAACTGTCGAGGCGTCCCTGAGATCACAGCGCCGCTCGCTGACAGTGGGAACTGACTCTGACTGGAGGAAGCACAGCAGCAGATTGTGTGGATTGTGGCGCCCCCTGTGGACACAGGTGGGAGTGTTTGTTTCATTGATTTCAAGAGGAATCAAACATTAATATCTGTGATGGTGTGTAGCTCACATAGAGGCTTCAGTGTTAAACTGAGACTGTTAGGAACCAGTTAGAACCAGTTTAAAGATGAATGTTCTGCATTCAGGACTGAGACAGTCGGAAGAAAAGGAAGCGAGGACGTAAACATGTGTCTGTTATTGTCTGATCAACCAAACTCCATTCAGAAAACAGACATTTTAACAGTTGTCAGCTCGTCGTCTTCAGATAGACCAATTTTTATTAATCTCATAATGTCGTTATTTCAGCATCATATTGATCCCTTTATTGACATTAAATCACAAACAGCGGATTATTTTAGGCTCAAACTGCAGCGGGCGAGTAAACAATTAATACAAATTACATTTCTGTGAACTTGCAGTTTTCTCCGATCACAGATTTGACCGATTATTGTTTCCTGCAGTTTCAGTGATCGTAGCACAAAACACTGAGCCATCGGTCCCCAAACTACTACAGCTTTTATTCTCACTCACTTCACTTTTATATTAAAAAATGCTTAAAAACATAAAAACATGCATCACAATTGATTAGCTGCAGTGAAATCAGACACTTTAAGACCCTTTAAATCAGCAGTGGAACAGATAAAGAGGGAAGCTGTCAGGTAAACGACTGAATGAACATTAATAAAGACACAATGCTTCATAATGCTGGACTGATTTATTAAACAACATCTACAAAAACACACGATAGAAAATGATTTCACTTTGTCACAACTGTAAAGATCCTCAGAGACAGACAGGACGTCCTTTCACTCTCTGAGTGTTTGTGCGTGGAACAGAGCTGCTGCAGGGAAACAGCACCACCTGCTGGACACTCGCACTCATTACAACAAGATTTCATTACGGAGACGGATCGAAACCTTTTATAAAACCAGAGAACAGTTTCTGTCCATTAAACCAGACCTGCACAGAAAAGACGAGGCAGCAGCGCTCATACGACACACACATCATGTGACACGCAGAGGATCTCTGATTGGTTGCTGAGGAAGAGGAGAGTGGAGTAAATAGACAGAGGTCAGACGTATGAAAGCTGCAGTGTATCAGTAGTTCAGAGGTTCAGTCTGCAGCTTCATTCTAACCAATGAAGACTTCCTGTTCTATACGCACACAAACACTGCTGTCAGTCAGCAGCCTGCAGGACTGACGCTCTGTGGTGCATTGTGGGAGTTTATCACTGACTCACACTTTAACTTCCTCTGACTGCGTTAATCTGATGTTTCACTAACAGATCAAAGAAAGACGTTGTTCTTCTGCATTCTGCTTAAATCTTCTGTTTAATCCCAGTCTGTGGAAACTGAATAAAGTATCTATCTATCTATCTATCTGTCTGTCTGTCTATCTATCTATCTATCTATCTATCTATCTATCTATCTATCTATCTATCTATCTATCTATCTATCTATCTATCTATCTATCTATCTATCTATCTATCTATCTATCTATCTATCTGTCTATCTATCTATCTATCTATCTATCTGTCTATCTATCTGTCTATCTATCTATCTATCTATCTATCTATCTATCTATCTATCTAATGTCAGAGAAAGTGAAGTGTGCGTCCAGCAGGCTGCTGACGGTCCAACAGTGTCTCTCAGTGGACACAGGAGAGGACGTTAAGTTAATGTGGAACAATGATGAACAATCTGTGGTAGATAATGTTTCTCTCAGTAACTAAAACTGTGAGATTTGTGAATGGAGTCTGGTGATATTGAGGTTGTTCACAAACATCTGCTGCTGATCTCTGCAGATAAAGGAGCTCAGATGTTACTCCTTCCTGTTGTTCCTCCGGCAGCGTACACTCAGAGGACTTTATTGTTTTACAACAGTGATAAAGAACCTTTGGAACCGGTTCTTGATTCCCGTCCCTCGTTCTGATTGGATCATATCGGAGCTCTCTGACCTGCAGTCTCACCAGACTCCATTCAAATATCTGAATGAATGAATGAATGAATGAATGAGTACAAACGTCTGTCGGTCCCAGCGTGTCGTTTGGGGTTCACTATAGAATCATTTTTCAAAATAAAAGCCTAAAGTTCAGAGCAGACTGAACCTCTGTACTGTCCTCCATCTTTTCTTCCTCCCCTCTTTTAGCATCAGTTCCTCTTCGTCCACGGAGACTCCTCCTCCTCCTCCTCCTCCTCCTCACCACTCCTTCTTCTTCTCATCCATGGAGACCCCCCCGGGCCCCAGGGCCACCACCAGCAGCAGGCCCCCGATGACCGAC